TCTTCGCAAGGCGAGGCCTGCCGTTAACTCCTGCTCGGCCCCGGACCTTCGCCCGGCGTCGTCTCGCCCCCTGGCAGGGGTCGCTGAGGGTCGAAGCCCGGCGGCAGCCCTCTGGCCGCCTCCGTCTTGAGCCTTCCTCGCCCGAGCGGGAAGGATGTCCTCTCCTTGGATGGAGCCAAGGGTTTTAACTCGTTTCTGAAGCGGGCCCTTTTTTGAAGTATTGAAAGAAACGCATCGTTCCTGGAGGCATTTGTGACAACCGACTGTGCGTCCTTATACAGTCAAAATGGCTTTGGGAGACAAAGCGGCAGTTGCTGTAAAGCCTTATCCTGGGTAGAGAAAGGTGTATTTTATCTCTCCTTACAGACACGGAAGGAAGCAGTTAGAGGGGTCAACACGTGCCAAGTCGAGTTGCGTTTGTTTTCTGTGTTTTGTTCCCAGAAGTAACTACCATTTAAAATAAGCACAAACAAGCTCAAGCCAGACGAATTAAGAACCAGTGTAATCCAAATAATTACATCTAAATTACTTGCAGTAAATCGGTCTTTTTTTTTTTTGACATCTTATCATGCGCATAACCAAATATTTGTTGTACAGCATTATTATCATAAAGACAATAAATCTGCCGCGTTATGAAAACCGGTGAACGTTCTTTCTGCGTTGACAGGGTGGACTATGAACGTATACAAGCCGTCGGCCCCGACAGGGCAGCTTCAGAATGGCTGGTGGGGTGCGGTGTTGGTTCGCTATCAAGGCTATCAGAAGTGGCAGCGGGACTACAACGGTCTCCCCACTGGGCCGTTAGGGAAATACAAGATCGAAGCAATTGATGCCACTGACTCTTGCATCATGTACAGAGGATTTGACTATTTGGGTAACGTGGACGCAGCTGAATAGTTTTAATGCTTACAGTCACAGCAAAGTATGAACAACTGTGGGGTTTTTTCTTTTGTTCCTTAGAAAGATATAGTTTTTTTTCTTCCTTAAAATGGCTTTAGAAGCATTCAGCAGTTCCTCACGTTTTGCTGGAGGTGTGCTGTGAAGCAGAGAGAGATTGGGAGCTTCCTCAGCCCTTCGCTGAAGTGACAGTAGAACGAAGCAAGTGGAACAAAGATTTGCTCTTTCGTTGAGTTTATAGTGAAGTAGTTGGCAGCACAAAGCATTGCTTTAAATATTCTTTTTTCCCTAAACCAAGTGATGATTTTGGGGGTCTGTGAAGTCATAATAGTGCTTGTTCTCTGCTCGTTCATGACCTCTTCAAAGAGAGGGGAAACTAAAGCTCTCAGTTTCTAATAAAGTGAGAGTCAGATTTAAAAAATGCTCCAGGTCTCCTTTAAACAATAAAGAACAAAAATGAGGACCAGACTTTTAAAATTTTCAGTGGCAGGGGACCTTGAATTTCCTGTATTTTTAAATTGCCAATTCAGATTCACTGTTTATCAACCATACTTGTAGAGGTTTTTTTTTATTTGTCCATGTCAAAGCTTTTAGAATCTTACCCAAAGGATGCAAACCGTGTGGTTTTTTGCATTTTTGAGGTTCCCCAAAAGAGACATTGTGTGTTATGGCCCCACTGTATACAGGAACACGTTGCTGTGTGTTTCTGGAGGCAGTGCAATTACTAAATTTGCAAGTGAGAACTTCACAACCAGTACAGGTCGTTCCCAGTGTTCTGAAACAAATACTCATTTTGTATTTACAGATGGCCTTGAACATGTTACAGAAATCAAGCTGCAGAAATGTATTTATATACAGGATGAGTGTCTGCAGAGGCTCAGTGAGACTAAGAATTTACAGAGGAGTCTCCTGCAGCTGAAGATAATTTCCTGTGGGAATGTCACAGATAAAGGCATCATTGCACTTCACAAGCTGATGTACGTCAACCGCTGAGCTCTTCTATAGCGCCCTGCTTCCCTAGCTGTTACCACCCCGCAGTACTGGCACTGTGTCAGTTACTGAGCCCTACTGCACCTCTCTCAGATTTCCATCTTCAGTGTTCGCTGCAGGGCTGAATTCTGAATGTTTCCTTCCACTGGTAGTGACACCCTGAGCAGCCCCAGCTGGAGTCCTCCGAGCCCTGACTGCCCACTGTGGCAGTTGTTGGGGTGTCTCGGGTGTTTGTGGGGCTGCTGGATGACTATCTAGCTACATCTTCCGCTGCTTTCTATCACTTTGTTTTCCTGTGGGGACTGTAGCTTCAGAGGTCTTGGGGCAGAGATCTGTTTTCTAATGCTTAGCCTTGGGAAGCAGTATGACTTTGGAAACTGGTCATCTCCATAGCTCTGAAGTACGTTCATATGTGCTTTATTGAACCATGGTCTTTGAACTGACTCAGAACTGTTTGTTTATTGCACAGGAGTATAGGCATCTATAAATGCATGGTGTGGTGAATTGGATTTCATGCTACAGTAAATTATTAGTAAGGACTTCGTGTTTAACTAAAACTACTACTTAAATTAAAATTACTATTACTATACGCTATCTAATTTAAAGGAAGCTTGATAGTGTTGGGGGGTAGGGATCTCTGTTTAAGCAGTGTAGAAGGACTGAATTAGGGTGAACTAAAAACTTTAAGCACCCGCTCCGAAAAAACTTCTGCTAGAACCAGTAATATCTTTAAAAGCCTCAAAATAACTACAGTAGAATAATTCTTTGTCTAAATTCCGAGTAAACACTTATATAGTAGTCACTGTCTTTTTCTCATATATATTTACAGGAACCTTGAATATTTGTATCTGAGTGACCTTCCTGGAATAAGAAAGAAAGAAACTACTTTTCATATGCTACAGCAGGCATTGCCAAACCTAGAGCTGGAACTGGATTTAGAATAAAACCAATTTCATGTAATTGAGAGGTATTTTTTTTTTTACAGTATTTATCATATGTTGCATAAATTATGTTGCAGATGCTACTATATTTCTAGATATGGAAACAAGCCTAGATGTCTCAACCCAGGCTTAAAAGCTGTATACGATCTTTTTGACCAGTTATACAATTAGATATCATTAAGCTTGAACTCGATCAACAACAGAGAAGACAGGCTTCGGTATGTAATACTTTTTTTTAGTTCTGCTTTTATAAGAAAGCTGCTAAAATATCAATTAGTAAGTTTAAAAAAATGTTTTACTGCACAGAAATTCTTGCGCAAAATGTCATTGAAAAGAATGCCAACGTTGCTACACAGCAGCACTGTACGGATTTATTATATGATGTTGATGCTGTCTAAATGAGAGCTGTTTACTTGCTCTTTGAGGATCTTGCCCAACCAACGTGTGAAGATTCAATAAAATAGCTGACAGGCCCTTTTTTTCTCCTGTTCTTCACAGTGACTCCTGTAGCCTTTGTTTGTTTTACATGGACTGAAATACAGACAAGCAACCTAACCTGTCATAAAAATTGAGCTGATGAACTGAATGTATCTGCATCTGTGGAGAAGCAGGTTCTCTTAGGTATGCCCCTGCACACACTTTTGCCGTATGCTGACATGGACTAAATTAGTTCCGTGTGCCTCATTAGTTACAATGAGATCACCCCTGCTAAATAAGAGGACGATTCATTTTCAGGAAGAAGATAGCATTTTTAGTCAAATTCCTAGCTTTGGTGCTAGGGGAGAGAAAAGGTGGTAGGACATTATTCCAAGAAAGCAAATTTCATAGTAATATCTCAGGCAGTTACCTGCCAGTTATCTCAGGCAGTTACCTCTGTGTAACTGGGAGTCTCTCTCATGAGCCTCTGCTTCTCTTCAGAGCTTTTCTTACCCTGCATTGTTATCTTGTCCTCTGAAGTAAATGATGCCAAGCACCAGCAAGGACAAGATTTTGTAGCAGCTGCATCCTGGGGCCAATTCTTCATGGCATCTCCCAGCACGGAGCAGGCAGGAGCTGTGTCAAGCAATAAAATTCCCTCCAGCCTGTGTTGCAAAGGACCGTGTCCAGGAGCTGACTCCCAGGCTATCTTACTGTTTATAGGCAGAGTATAGGTGCTGTGTTACCTTGCAGCTCTGCAGGACTAGACGACTGCTCATTCATACAGAAAACACTGGTATCCCAAAGCTTTTTGACTACAATATAAACTACCTATGGACTCAGTGTTCAAGATTAAAATATACTAATGCAGACTTCTACCTATTAAAGTATGGTATGAAATAAAAGCTAGGCAGGCACGCTCTTTGAGGATATGGTGTCTCTCCCACTGACAGTGCTTTTACTATTCATAGTGGTATTGGGAAAGGAAAACATTTTGGCTCTAGGCTTCAGGCAGGAAGAGGATGGTCTTTGCCCAGTGTTAAGACTTTATACAGTGATATGCTGAAGATACCAAAACACATCCAGTAATTGGAAAAACAAGCTACACTTATTTTATTCAAAACCAACACGATGTTAACATCCTGAGGTTACACAAAACCCAAGATTCATTCCAGTACACATACTTACAAAGAATTCCTGCCCGTGTCTGGCTAATGTAAGTAGCTGTTTTTGATAAAAACAATTTCGGTAATGCTGTAGACAGGTGATTTCACTGATGACAAAAAGAGCAAATAAAAACAACCTCACAATGCATGGAAGAAACAAGCAGGAGAAACTCTGCAAAGACTGAAGAAACAATAAGTTGTATTAATGATTTGTTCCCCATCTGGTAACGATGCCTGTTACTTCCGTCAAGTCTAAGTCATTGCAGTACTTTTAATACCTTGTGATATAGAAATGAAGTACACAACACAGACATATCTTTAAAGCAGTGCTGTTTCGGCAGGTTCATAACTGGACCAGTTACATAGCCTGCCTTCAGGCGTGGCTCTAAAACACATATATCTGTCTTCTACTCACATAGGGAATATGTTTATAGTTCCTTGCAGGATCATTTACTTAGCACTGTGCAATACAGTCTAAAACGATATTACTTTCTGACACTGTCCAACACTCAGACTAATTTATTTGGCATGGCAGCAGTTCTGCTGCCAAGTCTGAAATATAGGCAACAGATGGGAGTTTTTAAATTCACGCTGTAAACACTGGTTTGCAGTAATTCTGAACCAGTAAACAATCATGAATTAAAGCAAAACAGATGTATTTTCCTTTGTACACAGAACACGGACTAACATGATCTTGGAGTTCTTTCTGTGCATCACTTTCCTTCCGTTAGTGGCCTAGAGTACATTACTTTACAGACCACTTTTGTATATATCATAACGTATATTAATTTAGTTTTCGACCACATAGCCTCCTTTTATAAATTCTGAATGACTTGAACTTTGAACAATAAATAGTTCTTATTCTTCTGCCATCCAGTTAGATGTTAGGGAAATGGTAGTTTGATTTCCTTGTTTTGCAGAAGTACTTCTTGCTGTCCAAAGCTGGTAGAATGTTACTACTGGTTAACTGAGGCAGATACTGTAACTAAAGCAGAAATTACATGTGTGTATTTCTTTGAAACGAGAATAAAGCATGCATTTTATTTTACAAAAAAGAATATAAGCTATAAAACTACTCACACTGTAATTCTGCACTTTTCAAATTAAGAGTCATGGATCTGGTGTGCACTTACTGGTGCTTTACAACTGGACTGCAATCAGAATAGCTTACTAAGAGTAATTCTTCCAGTTGTCCAGGGCAAAAATATTAGTTATCATCCTATGTCGTAGATATGGAAGGGGCAAGTCAGTGTGTTCCAAGAATTTATATGCTTTAGCAGTTCTCTAAGAGTTCTCTCTTCTTATACTTTGAACTTCCCTGCATGTTACCAGTTCAGTGTTGTAGCTGTCACAGAAAATTTGGATCACTGGAAGAAAGGAGAACTCCTCAATGCCTATCATTGTGAGGCAGGACTAGAAGCCTCGGGCTGAAGTCTGGAAAGACTGAAATGGCAGGGAGATATTTGCTTGGCAGAAACACCCACTGTGTTGTGGAATAGCTGGAACTCAATAACTGCCCACCCTCGATACAACAAGTGCAGTAATCAAGCTTGAAGCCACACATGAGCGCATCACAGGGGCTGTGTTCATTCCCAGAATGATGGGACGTGATCCCACCATCAGTCACAAATGGAACTGGGCATTTTGCCATCTTGCTAATTTGGGATCCAAAAGCATCACAAAGATCCCAAGGAACTCCAAATTAAACTGGCCATCAGTCCACTTTGGCCAGCTATCCTGCTAGGGTTTGTCAGGAAGGCAGATTCCTAGATAAACCTGATTTTTCCACATTGCTCTGCTGCTTATCCCCAGTGACTCAACATAGCAGCAATCTAGAATTCAGTTCGTGCTGAGCTACTCTTTAGCCAGGAGGTTCATTTTCTCCTTGGGCTCAAATTAAGATCCTTCTGATGCAAGAGCTCTATCCCACCTTTAACTGTCAGCATAAGCCTACCTGTTGGGAACCAATTAAAAAAACAAACAAACATGTTCTATCCTCAGGCACAGGATATTAAATGCTGCTATAAAATATTACCCCTGACATGTGCTTCCGACTCAGCCTGGCTGGTTTCCGAGCTGCTTTTTCATGTTCTTTCCCCAGATCTCCTGCTTCCCTAATGCTGTCAAAGTAGGGATGCTGCAGTAACTGCTCGCATGTCTGCCTCTCTGCAGGGTCCATATGAAGGCAACCCTTAGAAAAGATTAAGTAAAGGAACACACACAACATTTGTTAGAAGGGCTGTACAATTCCATCTGCTCAAGACAGCCAACAAGTATCTGCACAGATGCATGTGTTAATTGTTTGTTTGTTAATGAATTCTACAAGTCTGACTTTTAAGAGTTATCGTGAAGCTTGCAAAGCAAAGCAGCTAGGCAGCTAATACTGAACAACTCCCGTTTCTGACACAGGGCAATAAAAGACATTGAGGCTACAGGGACAGTTATGAGTGCATGGTGCAGTAAACCATCAAGCCTCCAAGACAGTTAAGCCCATAACTTTCATTTGAACTAGAACCTCTTTCTTAAAAGGGGAATCCTTTGTATCACTAGCTGAGTTGTTCCAGCGCTCAGCGTAGCTAGTGGTCTCTAAAGCCATGCCTTCCTTCTAATTTAATTGTGTCCATCCTCAAAGTTTCCAGTCTTTGCACCTCAGTAAGAGAATGTTTTGTTGTCCACCTCCGTGGTGAAGAGGATAAAAAGGAATGGGCTCAAACTGCAACAAGAAGGTTCAGGAAAACCTTTCTAACAGCAAAGATATTGAGGATCTGGAATCTCCATTGTGAGATTCTCCATTATCAAAGGTACTTAAGATGATATTAGACAAACACTTGGTATACACAAATGGTATACATAGTGCTGCATGTGATTCAGAGACAGGGGTGGATCAAAAGTCCTCTCCAAGGCCCCTCTAGCTCTGTTTTTCTATGAATCTCTGATTATTCAATACTCAAATCTCACCCATTCACCACCTGGATAAACAAAATAGATGGGTAAGTAAAATCATTTGCTCAGCCTCAGTGCAGAGCTCCCCCACTACCTGTTGTTTGCTTACCTTCATGAGAGATAAAGCAGGGTGTGATATACTTGGGAATTTCATTTCTAATGGCTCCTGGAAAAAAAAAAGAATATAGTTCTCTTAACAAGTTTTTCAGTCATTGGGGTATAAAGTATTCCACAGCAACCTGGTCTATACATCACAAAACGCATCTGTCATTTTGCGTGCTTAGAGTGGAATTGCCTGGCATTGCTGAGGACAATTATATTGGCTACTGTGCCACCAGAATGACAGCAGAGAGGAGCAGCAGCAATTAAGGATTCGTTTGATTGTTTTTACACAGGGTATCAGTTAAAAAGAATCATGAGAAGGCTTCAGCTAACTCCAAAATATATAATACATTCCAGTGGATGTGGGCAAAGTATAGGGCTGGGCAAAGCTTTTGAGTACGGAAGAGTTCTGCACAGCAGAGGATTGGGCTAGCTGAGCTACTGAGGCTTCTCCAGCTCTAGTTCCAAAGCCCCCAAGCCTACAAAGGCATATGCTTAATCTTTAAACTGAAAGGAACTACTCATCTGCTTAAAATTAAACATATGCTTATGGTATTGTGGGATCAGACCCTAGGATTTTCCATGGAGGAGATAACGCCTGTGTTGTTGCTTCCCACTTGCACTGGCACAAACCCCGTGGAGCAGGGTTTCTTTCACATGGAGTAGTAACTAGCTAGAAGAGGATATTTTGGTTGTGCTGGGACCACTGAGTCTTCGATCCTTGCAGCAGGCTCTTAAAGGCATGGAAACGGCCTGCGCTTCACTTAGTTACTCCTTAAGTGTGATAGCATACAAAGGGATGTGCGAATAGCTTTAACTGTATATTCTAGGGAAACAGAAGCAGGAACACGTCTCTGTCCAAGCACCATGTCTCCTTAACACTGCAAATACATTACTGGTTAGCGCTAGGCTCAAGGGAGTACGTCTGGAGAGAGCTCTTACCACGTCCTCTGGGTCTGGAATTCTTACCCCACTGAAGAATTGGTTGGTGCTGAATACTTGCTGGTGCCTGGGAATAAGATCCCCTTTGACCAAGAATAAAAAGCAAAGTTAGATTAATTTGCTGTTTTTACAGTGCCTGCATTGAACAAGTTTATTCTACACCAGGCTGACACCATTGGAGAGGACTTTTAAACAACTGGAGTATCATCAAATGAGCCAATGAAGCATTCATTTGTGAAAACTAATTGTCTTGGACTTCAGTGATTCCACAGCCTTGTGACAGCGTTGACTGAAAGGCAGGACCACGTTGCTCCAAGGCCTGCAATCACAACTGCCCAGGGGTTATACTGCAAAGAGCTCACAGAAATTCAGCTGGTGGGAGCAGTTTTGGAAGGAGGAGTACCCAGCTGCTGTGTCCCTTCCACTCCTAGGCTCTTGGTTTCCCTGCTGTGCAGCAGAGTGGCCATGATGAATTGTGGTCAACATAGGCAGGGGCTTTGAAAAATACATATTTCTGTGTAGCTCCCCATCCAAATGCCTAGACCCTGTCACTGCTTTATTTGGGGAACTGCAAATTGAGATTTGCACAAGCAAAAAGAAGTAGAACAACAGGGAACGCACTGAACAAGGAGGTGGGAAAAGCACTTTGTTTCACAAATAGATTTGCTCTGTGCCAGCGTCTGTATGTCCACTGTATGCCGGCCGACTTTGAGCGTGGGTTCTGCATTGAGTGCGAGAGCAGAAATGAGTCCCAGCATCGTAGCTAGAGGGTGCTGTGCAAACATCTACGAGGATCTGAAACTCCAACCAGGCCACAGCACTGAGCCTCAGCCAGGGATCCTTCCCAAAATGTTAAGCAAGATAAAAATCAACAACTAACTCCCCTGCTCTCATCCAACACGATGGACCAGCCCAGGGCTCTGATGAGTAACTGGCAGGAGCCACTGTTTGTTTTGGACGTGGCCGCATGGCAGCGTGGGCATGCTTTGTTGGCAGCTTTGTTCACTGGGAGGGCGAGCAGGGCTCTGTCAGCTGCGCTCTCCATACTAATGCAGTGTTTCAGCATTTGCAAAGGGAAAGGGTTCCTGAGAGGCAGCCTGTCCACATAAACAGTCTTTTCTGTTCTGACTACTGGAAGGAGACAGGCTAACCACAATTGTTCCAGCTTCATTAAAATTTAACTCATTTTGGGGAAAATTCTTTTTGTACAGTCCTGAGGATATTGTACAGAAAGGGGCTGAAATGCAGCACCAACAGGAACATGCTGTAGCTTTTCTCCAGTGCAGCTTCATGGCCCCTTTTGAAGCTCACAGGCCTATAAGAGAGCAGCTCAAAGCAAGCAAAATGGGAAAATCAAATCTGTAACAAAAGGGCTAGTACAGTAATGAAACCATCATAATTGTACAGCTTGGAACAAGGAGCTTTTCTCTGTAAACTGTGCCTCAGTCCATCACCTGCTTTAAAAGGGAATTTCTTCTGCCTGAAACACTATAATGAAAAATAAACTATAACTCAACTAACACCTGCTCAAACGTATTCTGGAAGATGAAGCAATTAAGGTTTAACTATAGTTCTAGCTAAAGAGGTTATCTGTTTAAAGCCATTAGTTGCCTTTATAGTTTTCTAAATTGCTTAGTACAATTCATTCTAACATATTTCAGCTAAAAGTGGGGGTTTGTTCCCCTCCACCCAAGAAATCAGATGTTACACATCAAAATTAAATAGAACCAGTGAGACTGGATTAGTTCAAGTATTATACAGATAATGGCTCTTTAATTTAGTCTCTGTTCCAAATCCAGAGTGACTATTATAATTCCTTTGTGAATAAACAGGTGGAAGACTCAAACCTTCTGATGTTCACACTTTCTTTACCAAGCACACAGCCATCAACAGGCACCTGCAATATTTATGACACCTCCTCCAAAGCTGTGATGAGCTAAGTCCAGCTCTTCCTTATCCAGAGACAGGGGCTGCTTTGCTTGATACCAAACCCTGAAAAATACCTCGGCTCTTTCAAACCTCTATGCAAAACCTCTTTGGCCGTTTCTAAAACAGCCACCGCATTTTTCTGTCTGTGTGGAGCCCACCAACTGCCCTTGTCACCCCCATCTGCAGGGGCGGTTGCATCAAACCTCCTCAACCTGGCCAGCCTGGTGTTTCTGCGCTCCCCACAGGCCTGGCAGTCACTGAGCCACCCTCCAGCTCACAGCCAAAGGGACCAGGAGGGGCCCGCAGTGGCCACCAAACACACCCCACACCTTTCTTAAACTGCACTGCCCAACACCAGATCCAGATTTCCAGAGGCCACACCAGTGCTGAGCGGAAGCACTAGTTCAGGCAGCCTGCAGGCGATAATCCAGCTTATACAGCCCCGTCCACTGTAGGCCTTTCTGCCGCAGCATGAAACCATTTCTACCCCACAGATCTTTTTCCAAAAAATAGTCGCCTGCCAGGTGGAGGCCAACTTCAACTCTCTAAATCCTGCAAGAAAACTAAGCAGCACCTGTTACTCCAACTACAGTCTCCTAAAAGATACGTACATACAAGACACGCTGGGAAAACCCACCTCCCACTTACACACAGTAACTTTGAATAAAGCCGACAGCTACTACAGGGAGAGATCCACAGGGTAAATCCACCTCCTGCTGACCGGAGCTCTTGCTGGCTAATCCCAACTCCCACCACAGAGGGGACTCCTCCTGGGTAAGCTCTAGTCCTGCCAAAGGCATCAAGAACATCTGGGGTTCCTGGAGAGGTGCTGTTCTCCCCTTGGGCTCCCATCCCTCATGCCCCAGGAGTACTGGACGCGAACAGTGACTCCACCTTCTCCATTCTCTGAAAGCTAATTCTCTGTTGCTAATCCCCAGGCACGGCTCTCAGATACAGGCAGCTGGGAAGCGAACAACTTCCAGTCTCTCTGTGTAGTCAGTATGTCCTCAGTAACACGAATACATCTTTCAGGCCCCAAGGCCCAACCAGTGACCTGCGCACTGACGACAGTATCAAATGGAGCATGGAGGAGATGAGGTCTGATTTCGGACGTGACAGGGTAACATGAGTGTGTGCTGGATTCCAGCCCGCGTAAGGGAGAGCCAGCTCACTGCACACACGGACAGCTTACAGACAGGCCTGACTGAGGCAGAGGGGACACTTACCCAGGGTTCTCCGGATGAGGTACAGCTGGTCTACGTCAGATTTGCCAGGCCACAGGGGCACCCCAGATAACAGCTCTGCAAAGACACAGCCTATCGCCCACACATCCACAGGAGGTCCATACTGGGTATCTCCCACGAGTAATTCCGGAGAGCGGTACCATCTGGTAGCCACATAGTCTGTGTAATAATCACTTGGCCCAGCTAGGTTGGAGTCAGGAAGGAGAGAAACAAACAGGAATATGGCATCAGAATGATGCAGAAGAGTTTTTACACATGCCGGGATAGCAACAACAGCACCTCCTGGGCAGGCAAGAGCTACAGGAACAGGATGAGTCACTGGCCACTAGCAGAACTCAACTTTGGAAACACTTACGATTTGGCAAAGATCAAAACCATGTTTTTCTTGAAATGAAAATATGCAGAGCTCTGCAGTGGGACCCCGCATCAGCCAGCATCGGTTCTCAAACCTCACGTGACTTGTCTGAACAAGAGCTTAAAAAGAAATTTAGGGGGTTTATTATGATGGAAAACGTGAAGCCATCGTTTGCAGAGACAGTGCCTTCTGCCAAAGGGGCCCCTCCTGCCAGGGAACTCCAGCTGTGGCTCCAGCATTACATAAGTGACTACAGGGCAGTGCAGAGATGCCCACACCAACTTGCATCTACCTGCTCCAGCACCAGCAGCAATTTAGCTGCACCAGCAGAGAGCTCAGAAGCAGCTCGTTTACAGAGCAAACTGGCCGCACAGCGTCCGACTTAGATCCCTTAAAGCTGGTTTGAGGATCTCTACCCTGGCACCTCCAAAGCCTTTAGCAGAGCTTCTCTGTGGAAACAAGCCAGCTCTTATACAGGATGATTTACACATGCATCACACAAAGACAAGCAAGTCTTCATTGGGAGTTTGAAACCCTGATCCTACGCTTCATTTGAGCTTTCTCATGTAACAACACATCTAAGCAGCTAGTCAGCACTCACTCAGTATGCGAGCAAATCCAAAGTCACAAAGTTTGATGACCGAGTGTTTTGTTATCAGGATGTTTTCTGGCTTTACATCCCGGTGGATGCACTGGAAACAGAAAAAACAAGGTTAGAAGCAAGCATTTAACCTGGCCCTTTGATAAAGAACATCTTAATACAGCCATATCCCCCTTGAAAATCATGCCATGGATCTTAAGCAGGCAGTCATCGCTGTTGGAAGAGGAGATGAAAGGATTTCTTAACAGCAGCTAAAGCCATGTCCTACCGGGCATCACAATTACCTTGCCTATAACCCACCTTTGGGATGAGGCACTGTGCAGCTCCAAGCTGAAATCTGGGCCTGACAAAGAGTTTCTGTTGATCAAACCAGCAGAGACCTTAATTTCTTCTGCCTTTGTATGGAAGGTGTGCTCTACTGAGATCCCCAAGGTCTAGCTCACTTCATCCCTCCCCTGCCATCGCCTCAAGTATTGTAAACACCCTGGACTTTCTTGGATGAGCTGGCAGTAAATTATTGTATCTCCTGCCAAGGACTGAAATGCTGCTTGTTAATCAAAGTCATTGAGTCCCAGAAAAAAGCAGCTGCATAAAACCTCATTACCTGTGATCTACAGTAGGTCAGACTGCAACATCTAATTGTCCCTTCAGCTTTAAAACTCCATTAAATCTTTCAGATTGAGAAGGGGAACAGAAAAAAAGAAACAAAATAACAAATCCTGGAAGCAGGATAGACCTATGGCCAAGTTCCTGTGGCTTGGGCGCACATAATTCTCTCCGCAAAGACAAAACATCCATTCCAGAGTGATCTCCTGCTTGCCTCTTAAATCTTAAGCTTTGGCTGATAAACAAAAACAAAGTCTCACAGCTAAGATTGCCGAAAGAACTCCTCCAAAATGCTCCTTTCCTTCCCTGCTTCTTAGAGTGTCCCTATAGCTTTCCACACATTTTTTGCCATGCACAGAGCTCACATCTCCCTCCAGAAAGCAGAGGAGGTTGCAAAACTTGTTCTAGTATACTTAAGTTTTGCAAACTTTTTACCAGTGCCCTAACCCAATGCCTATGGCTGTCAACAGAAGGATTTTCTGTGAAATCAGCAGGAGTTTGCTCAGGTCTTGCTTGATCCGATGTGATGCCAGTTTTCTACAACTTCAGCTACGATGGATGACACAGGGAACATAAAAGGATATATTCCTGTTCAGCCTGGAAGCTGACCTACGGTCACTAGTGTAAATCATTCCTTAACAGCAAGCCCAGAGACCTGCATGACAGTAGATACAGCCATTGCAGATATATGCTAACAGTTCAGATATATGTTTTCTATTAAAAACGGGAAATTTCATCTGACTTCTTCCCATGAAAGCTGTGTAATTGCGAAAAGAGCAACAGGATTTGCATCTCTTTCAATGCCATGTTGCAGCACTCTTCAGTGCTATTGCGGGGACTTACGTTGTGCTTATGGCAGAAGTCTACAGCTTGGAGAGTCTGCCAGGTTATGCTCTTCACAAGATGCTCTGGCACTCTGTTTTAAAAAAAAGGACATTTTCATTTTAGTCATTCAAAGTAACTATTACTACAGAAAGGAGGAGGAGGCCTTTGAGTGCCAGAAGATCATACAGGGGTCTCTAAGCGAAACGGGGAGCAAGTCAGAACAGACAAACACTAGCAGCCTTTCCTTGCTATAAAGAGGTTAAAAGAAACACAATAATCCTCAGCACATTGCTCTCCCCCTGCAGGGAACCAGAGAAAAGTCACAGTGGGCTGCTGATGACAGGGGTTGTTTGTGGCTCTTCCTTGTTCACGAGCTGCAGCTGAGCTCTGTGCCTGCACCTCTACAGAGCCCCTTGCAAAATGCAAAGCTCTCCTACAAGATTACTCTCCAAGCATCCCAGGAGCATCAACTTCCAGTGCCGCTTCCAACTTCAGCTAATGCAACAAAATACAAGGATTTATGGCAGCTGAGAGCATGCCAGGGTTCGGTTACCACTCAGTCACAGCCAGCCTGAGGCCTACCAATTGGT